ATTGAAGCCGAGTCTAACAAGGACCCGTACTAATTTCCTTTCGTTTGTAAAAGAAATGTTGAGAAATCAATAGACCTGTATAGGCAAAATATTTCTATGTGCTCATATATCGCACTTGGATAAAATTGTATCATCATATTTTGTGGGAATTTCATGACAAAATTGTATATTTTATTTCACCAATGTACTTTTCTTTTTGCTGGATCAAAATTAAAAACCAGTTACAATTTCTGGTGATTCTATCCATGACGATCATTCCGAAATCGATGTCTTCTCAAAGACTCCCTGAAGATAGAAATTTTGACGACCCACATCGCTGCCGATCGTAATCCACAAAATACTCAAAGATCACCCTTTTGGTATTGCGGACAATTAAAGAGAGATGTACCCGTCAAAACTTCACCTCTTGGATGGTCCGCTGAAAACGATGACGAAAACACTGTTCAAAAACTATATTTCGCGGTGATATGTCGATTCTCGGTCGATCTGTTCGAGATTGCAGCCTCGGTTAGCGCCAATCTTAGGCCACAACACCATTGATTATAAAGTCAAAAACACTCTCGGTAAGCACTAATCTTAGACCACAACTCTGTCGAGTATAAAAAACACTATCGGTTAGTGACGATCTTAGGCCACAACACCGTCGAGTATAAAAAACACTATTGGTCAGCGCCTATCTTAGGCCACAAAATTGTAGCGTATAAAAAACACTCTCAGTTAGCGCCAATCTTAGGCCACAACACCATTGAATATAAACTCAAAAACTACATCTCATGGTGATATGTCGATCCTCGACCGATCTGTTAAAGGTTACACCCTTTGTTAGCTTCGTTCTTAGGCGACAACACCGTCGAGTATAAACTCAGACATCACATCTCACGGTGATATGCCGATCCTTTCGAGATTGCACTCTCGGTTAGCGTGAACTTTATGCCACAACATCGTCGAGTATAAATTAAAAAATTACATCTCATGGTGATATGTTGATTCCTAGCCGATCCGCTCAATATTACATTCTCGACATGGCGCCAACCTAAAAATCTCCAAGCACTAATTCCAAACCTGCGATTCTAATCAAATTCATTCGAAAATAAAAATCTTTCAAAAATCAAAGTTTATCTCAAGAATCGATATTGGCTAAAGTTATTCCTCAAACAAGGACATATTGCGGAAAACGGAATCTAACTAGCAAACTCCTTCCAAATAAAAAAGCTACTTCTTTTTAATCGCAACTTACGATCAGAAAAGATCGTCAAGAAATTTCGAGGTAAAAAACTACGACATTCCATACGACTTTAAAAAAGAAAAACAAACACGCATCTTCATTCAAAATACTGGGAAAAGTCTTATAAAGCCTCATTCAAAATACAACCATACTTGGCCTATCCTACTCAAAAACCTAAAAGAATATATCAAATTGACTTAAAGCCATAATCAGCCAATTACCTAGATAAACTTCAGGTAATTATACGTCGCTCATTAGTCCACTGGAGGATTGATGTCCATGTCTTCTCTCTTATCTTCGACACTCCCTGGGGCAGTCCCTCGAGAAGTTTAAGTCCTTTCTCTAGTCATAGGGATAACATCGTTGGAAGAGAACGACAAAACTATAGTCGGACCTAGGTCCAACTGAGGAATCTTCACGCACGAATAGGGGCCCCAACCGTCTCCTTTAAAATAGTCTCGGCGTTCTGATCTATCTCACTATCCTCATTTGAGGTCATGTCTAGGATAACTTCCTTTCAGGCAAAAACACCCCTTATAAAATCCAAATACTTGCCGCTCTCCAAGGTCTTCAATGTTGGTGTTATATACTGAAAGCTTGAGTTTGGATGATATTACACTCTATCTTTGTTGAATGAGAATCATGTTTAATTAAATAAGTTCTATATTCTGTTGAGAAACAAGAGTCGTTGGTTCACAACCTATATGGAAATGAATAAACCATTAGAACAATTGTAGTGTCAACTGTACAGTTGGTCTTAACTGATTAGTTGCACTTGTGTATTTATATATCAAACAGGATCCCAGTGAGTAGTAGTTAGTTTTATACTGATCGTCGTAAACAAACTTAGTCTCGGTTAATTACTGCGTTCTCTTAACCCATAAGATATGGACGAGCATGTGCATGTAGTATCTATTGCTTTGATTCACTAAAGGTGAGATTCATTCAATAGGGTCAACATTCCTGATCTTTTGGGTAATAGTACTGCATGTACGATGTGCTGTTAGAATATTTACGGTCACCATGTGCGTCAGTTTGATGATGTCCCCGAAGTGAGTTCATGAAGGATTATTATGTTAAACCCTGCAGATGGATTAAGTTCCGACATAATAATAATGTGATGAACGGCGCTAGCTTTGGTTTACAAGATATTAATTAATTCTTAATTATCAGTAATTGAATTCATTAATCGACATTATATCTTAAACATGGGGAGATAATTCGAGTAATTATAATTGAAGTCTCGAATATAATTTTGGGGATGATGAGGGAGTTCAATTATGTTTTCGTTAGTGGACTGAGACATTATTTAAGTATTGACAAGAGTGGCTTGGCTCACAGTTAAGCCCAATACTTAAGGAGCCATGGGATAGGCTCAATTTCTTGTGCTAATTACATATAGTTAACATGTGTTCATACGAAAGTTATATTTAATACGCATAAAAATATAAATACAAGTTTTTATTTTCAAATTTTAAAAAATTCTTACAAAATAACATAATTATTTTTATTTAAAATGATACAACCAATTCAAGCAGGACGAAGTTGTTTATATACTGCGAGTGTTCACACTAGGGGCGGTACCGTAATTACTTGGTTTGTTGCGTTCACACTTAAAGAGTTGAGTAATTACGGTACCGCCCCTAGTGTGAACAAGCAGGACGAGGTTGTTTATATACTGCGAGTGTTCACACTAGGGGCGATACCGTAATTAACCAACTCTTTAAGTGTGAACGCAACAAACCAAGTAATTACGGTACCGCCCCTAGGGTTAGCCATCAGAATCTACAATATAAATTCAAGCAGGACGAGGTTGTTTATATACTGCGAGTGTTCACACTAGGGGCGGTACCGTAATTACTTGGTTTGTTGCGTTCACACTTAAAGAGTTGGTTAATTACGGTACCGCCCCTAGTGTGAACACTCTTGCAGGACGAGATTGTTTATATACTGCGAGTGTTCACACTAGGGGCAGTACCGTAATTACTTGGTTTGTTGCGTTCACACTTAAAGAGTTGGTTAATTACGGTACCGCCCCTAGTGTGAGTGTTCGCACTAGGGGCGGTACCGTAATTATTTGGTTTGTTGCGTTCACACTGAAAGAGTTGGTTAATTACGGTACCGCCCCTAGTGTGAACACTATTACGGTACCGCCACACTGCAGGACGAGGTTGTTTATATACTGCGAGTGTTCACACTAGGGGCGGTACCGTAATTAACCAACTCTTTAAGTGTGAACGATATTATATTATAACATTTTTAGTACTTATACCATATAATAAGTTTGATAGATAAATTTATTGTCTTTCAATTATAATTGATAAATATTAAAAATTTTATTGATAGAGATCAGATAGATATAATTATTTTAATTTATATATACAATATGAATATCAA